CGCAATGCTACGTGATCGCTTATTATTACTCATAGACGCACAAGAATTTAGAAAGTAACGGATCACTTATATACAAGCTTCGATTACTTGCAACGCCCAATATAAAACATTTTAATATTTCGATATTTCGAGAAAAGATTTCGCGTTAAAAAAATCTTCTCGCAAGTGAATATCAATAATTAACAGAAAGTGAGAAATTCATTTGCAATATGATAAAACGAATTAAATCTTTCTTACATCTCTCATTCTACTTAAGTACACTGTTATAGAACGGAGAGCGATCGATCGAAGTACTTCGACGATTAGATCACCAGATGTCCTTGTGAAATTGAACTAACGAGATTTCCTTCGTCACTTCTATTCCCTACGATTTTTCATTTTATCTTATATCTTTGTTAATTCTTTTTCTCTTATCCCTTTTTCCTTTCCTAATTTTCTATTTTCCTTTATTCGTTCTCGTGCTTCCTTTTTTCATTTGCTCTTTAAAAAATTCAATGCCATCATAATTTATACAATCAAAATTTTCCTTGACAAAAATCCTCGTTAACGAGCACACCTAACCTAAAAATCTACATCATTTTTTCTAGTTATCTCCAACAAGCTTGAAACGAAAAAGTATGTTCAAAAGAAAAAAAAGATGGAGAAAAATGAAGAAAAAGAAACTAGCAAGCTAATTTTACGTGGACGTGTTTCCACGATGGTATACAGGAACGCCCTCAGGTAACCATCTTACCAAACTAACTCTTTTTCTTCTCGTCATATTAGAAACACAGCTATTGGATGTCGAACATAACCATACACTTTTCTAACCTATTCTTCATCCGTATTGCATTATTTCCAGAGAATAAATGAAAGAGCAGAAACGATGGATTACCCTTTTGGATGTAATTGATCACGAAGACAATGGATTCCTGTATTTATTGACGACATCGTCGGTCTCAGGTTTGGGTATCGACGGCAGGTGAAAGCAAGGCAGAATATACATTCCTCCACGGTGTCCAGCCTCTAGTAGTGCTTTTTTCCGTGTAATTACTTTAATAATTCGTATCGACTTCCACTGGGAACTCCTTTCGCTGGACACGCAAGTTGGCTCGTTTCTTGGTCTCTATATTTGCTAAGTATACACAACTATCGATTGAACGTAGAATTTAGGACAACTTCGTTTACTTTTCCTTACGTAATTAATTTATTTTCACGTAATTAATATGTTTAAAATTCATTGGAAATATTGTTTTAATCTTAATTATAATAAGTTTATTTTAGCGGATATTTGTTGGAAGGTCGCATTTATAATTACGTGTAATTAGAATCTTGTGTGATGGTACGTTAATAAAGAGAATTTTATTTTTATTATTTGTTATTGTATTTAAATTAATGGTAATCTTTAAAAATAATCTTCCATATGAATGTAAATAATTCTTTGTTATCAAATTTCTTCGTTCATTAAGTCTACATACTCTTCACAGAACTTCCATTTTCTTCGTTACCTTGCTTGAAGCAGAAAAAGAAGAACACAATTTGTCGCTACTCCAGGGAAACACTAAGGGAAGTAATGAAATTATAGAGGATTCTCGCCGGATGGCAAACATGACCGAGAAATTCTCGAAAGACTTGGCTCGATCATTTTCAGAAACATTATTGGTTCAAAGATATTATTACGAGAAAAAATAACCCTGTTTATTTTTTATTTTTAAATTTAATTGTTGTTTAATGCAATGTCGAGCAATCGTTGTAATTATCCTAACCTCAAAAATATCCATAAATTTCCTACATATATTTTCTATCTCAATTAAAATGCACTAAATGTAACAAAGAGAGAGGTATTCGCGAAGAATCTTAGTTTAATTTAAGTAATATCGTAGCGTGAAGTTAACGAAACATAAAAATGTTAATCTCTTCAATTCGAATTACGGAGATTGCTCGAGTAATAATTATGTTATTGTTTTGTATTACACGCCATCTCTATCGATGAATTATAATCGATTCTCTCGAAGATTATCCTTGCATATCAACTCGTTTTAAACGATTAAAATTAAAATTGATAAATGTCTTAAGTGAAGCGTATTGCACAGATTTATCGCTTTACGAACGGAAGCGACAATTAAGATTAATTATCCTTTATGGTAGGCTCGTAATAATACGTCTTCATAAAAATATTTATTTAGTCTACTTTTACCTCTATTATTATTTAAAAAAAAAAGTGATTTAATTGTTTTTGCATTTGATTTATCTAACCTCAAAGAATTATTATTCTATTATATTTCCATTAATCTTTGCATTAAAATATGTGCAAAACATGCTTTAATTCTTTTAAAAGAACAAAACTGAAAGAACAAAATGAGTCACGGTGAAAGATACTTTCTAAAACTGATTCTCACATCTAAATTTTTACACTGTTTTTAACTCGCATTATTATTTATATAAAAACAAAATCTACCATATCTTAGAATTTCTATTCCAAAAAGAAAAAAACTGGAACGTTCTTTTTATACATTTTTCAATCTAACAAAGTGACCACGATTGTCTGTTAATTAAACAAAAAAAAAAAAAAATCGTTAAAGATAAACAAATATTACAATTTCCAAGATATTACGTTAGAATAATCGGAAAGGGGAAAAAAAAAAAAAAAAAAAAAAAAA